TGTTTGGGCCTTTCACATGACTCATCTGCTTCCCGGCGCCGGCTGTCATCGATTTTACACGAGCTCCCACGAGCGGCTCATCGACTACCAGGCCGGGCATAACTCATCAATCCATAACTCAGTTTGTGGGTCACGAATGCAGTTTGCATTCCGTCATCGCGGCGACGATTTGGCTCGCAACACGAATTCAATAAATCAAACGCGTGCCGCAACTGCGTGTTGCCCGCCAATGATTGACACGCCTTTTTGACGAAGCGCCGGCCTTTAGAAGGGGGTGTGGCCATGTCGTACGCCAAATGTGGTCAATTAGCAAAGCTTTGCTCTGTGGCGGGAACTAATTAAAACGCGCTGAGCAAACACTATCCTCTGCCCTGACCCCGCCCCCACTCCCGCCCAGCACTATCAGGAGGGCAGCTTGGGGCACGTGCGACTAGGATTTGTGAGGCGTTCTATGCTTATTTAGTTTGCTGATTAATGACAGCTGACACAGGTATAAAATGCATGACAGACTGACAGACAGAGACAGAGAGAGAGAGAGAGATAGAGACATAGAGAGGCAGAGTAAGATAGAGAGAGATATTGATGTATCACGCAGAGCGGAGCGTGCCTAGACAACATATTGCGCATACGCCCAGTGGGCGGATAAATAAGATAAATTGCTAAAACGTTTGTCCGGAATTGTAGCTGATGTCCCATCGGTTTGACAACAAAGAAAAGAGTTTGCTTAGCCAGTCATTTAACTTTCTGTTGGCATTTTGTAGAAAGTATATTCAACGGCCAACTCTTGTTGACTTGAATCGTGTCTTGAGCTGCGGGCAACTCCACTCTGTGACTTTTGCTTCGGTGGGGAATTTTCGAGCATGGCCAATGTGAATTAAAACTCTATCTGACAGAGTTGAAAAATCGGGTATTATCTATTTTAACTACAGATCCATAGGGAGAGCTGAATACAGCTAATTGATTTGCTCCAGCTTATGTTGCCTACTCGGCCAATAGCAAATAGCAAAGGCTTAGCCTGGTCTAGAACTAGCCCATATCATGATCTCATGCTGGCAAACTTTTGGCAGCCACAGCCACAATTTCCGTTTGTCTGTGCATTGGCCGTGAACACTTAAAATTAAAGACGCTTTGAGTGGAGTCAACATAAAGCGAGTTGATTGCGGATGTGCCAACTACACGCAGATCTGTTACACTTGGCTGATAATTCCCATAATTTGGCAGCTCATTTAGATTTGGATTGTTCGCACTTGACTCTTTGTTTCGGCTTAATTGTATGAAATTTGCGATGCTCAACTTGTTCATTAGATTAATTATATTTCGTCTATGAGGCGAGAGGAATGAAAAGTAATTTGCCATGCGCCATTTGCCATTTTCGAATTGCCATTTGCCGTTTGGCTTATAGATTAGAATTTCAGCGACTGGCATTTTAATTAGACAAATTCATTGAGAAGGTGCAATCGAGTGTTCTATGAAATCATTTACATGCACACACAAACATACACACACACATACATATGTATATACCATCGAAATCTTAATATTCATTTAAATTTATCGCATTATTATTTTCTTGAAATTTAAAATTAATATTTTAAGATGCTGTTCTTCCAGCTTTATAAAGACCTGAAGACCTTGAACTATAGTTACTAATTCGTTTAGTACAGTTATGCTAATAATGAAACAAGTATGTGTGTATGCCATCGGGCATGCTTGACTAGGAAATACCCGAAAGTGGGGTACTTTCTAGGCTTAGGTATCTTCCTTAAGGTCAGGCCTATTTCAGCCTATTACATACAAAACCAATATACCCTGTCGTTAAGTCGCATTGACATTTCTCCCAATTAGCAGTAAAATGACGTATTTTAGCAATTTAAGGAATCTCCAATTAATATTTACATACCAAAATCGAGATTTATTGGTTTTGCCAATTGACGTAAAATTTTGCTCACGTTTCTGTAGTTATTGCTAATCAGTCAATCGTAAAAATAATTGCTGGCTCTTTCAGGCAGGTAAAAGGCAATTATTTAAGGAATGCGTCAAAAGAGAACATAAAAAACTGATTCATACATTGAGCCAATGTTTACCAAACGCCGAACGAATGTCGCACGGTTAAATGACGAATAATCACTAAAGAAAAACCCATTCCACACATGGCCTACGAGGCGTGAACATACCGTAAAGAATAAGATAAGGCTTGCGTTACTAAAGAGATTAGGGATATATAAGATATTATTTATCGTTTTTTTTAAATTCTGAGAAGAGTTGAAACAGCTGCAGAACACATTTCATTTTAGAAAATTAACAAAAACAAAAGTGAAAAGAATTAAAATTCGAAAAATACTTGAAAAAATAAACAAAATATATACAAATTTACTCGAAATTAATTTTTGATATACACATATGTAGATATATATACATTATTAAATAACTTGAAGATCTCTTTAATCAAGCTCTTTAAGTAAGCTTGTCTACGCGTGCAGCAGCTTAAATGTATCTTCAAGATATAAATACTTCACTCACTCAATACGAACGTATCTGCATTCAGTTAAACACGAAACGAGACTGAGTAAGCCAAGCGCCGAACAAAGTAGAGATGAAGAGCTTGAGTAGCGTTTCAATGCGGCTCAATGTTGTTGTTGCTGTCTGTGCATATTTCCCTATGTTTGCAGCAAAGCACACACACACAAACACAAGAACTGAGAGAGAGACGTGCGTACGTGCGGGCGTATGTGTGTGTGTGTGCGTGTGAGAAAAAAATTTTAGGCTGTCGCTGTCAACAGAGACAAGACAAAAAGAAGAGAAGAAAAAAAACAAAAAAAAAAAAAAAAACAGTTTCTGCTTATTTGTATGCTTGTGTGAAAAAAAGTGTGCTTTACCAAATTAGCAAAACCGGTTTACACTGGATGAACTTTAGGCAAGGGACTTAGCAAGGGCATCGGGGTATAGCAGTACCAGCAGCAGCAGCGAAAAAAAGACATGCTAAAGATAAACAAAAGCCGCTTTTGCTCATTAGCCATTGTTGTCGTGTTGTTGTTGTTGTTGCTGCTGCTGGTGCTGAAACGCGCGACTGATTCCAGCAGTCAAACATTTGCCCCACCTCGCAGAACAAGCAGCTGCACCCACAAGCCCCAGGTAGAACTAACTGCTCAGCTTTTTGGCAAATTTTATCAACAAGGTCGTGAGCGCAAAACTAAACAAAAATCGAGAGCGAGCATGAAGGAGAGAGAGCATGCCAGCGAGTGAGTAAGTGAGTGAGTGAGCGAGAGCAAGGCAAAAAAAATGCCAATGCTCTGCTGTATGCATAGCAAGGCGTGTGAGCGGGAGGGAAAAAAAATGCGTGTGTGTGTGTGCGTGAGAGTAAATTCAACAAGTCGCGACTCGAAAAAAACTCTTCGTTTGGCTGCCTCTGTGCATATGGATATTCGCGCTCATTTAATGCATATTTCCACGTGCGATCTGAGCTGCGACTGTTATCTGCTCTGTTAGCGTGTTGGAGGCTGCACTCTACCCACTGGTCCAGTTGCGTGGCGAAACGAGTTTAGCAAAAAAACATTTCACTTCATATTTGCTTAATTGCGATATTGTCATTTCAGGCACACAATTCGCAGTTGTTATTGACGTCAATATTTGAGATAAACACACTGATAACCTCATCCAGAGCCAGAGGCTAAGCTTCTGTATGAACACAAACACACTCCCTAATGGCTATAATACGATAATGCAACAATAGTAAAATATTGTCTTTAATACTTTTTTGCAAGAGTCTAATAGCATTTTTGAATATTTAATTTTATCCATAATAAACAAGAGAATATTTAATCTTTTTTTCTCTCTAAATAAAAAATGATTTCATTGTGGCCAACCGACCGGCTGGCTTCATATGCATAGCTGGCAAAAAGCTACATACATAAATATGATAAAGCGGTTGTAAAGAAACTGTTGTTGTTGCTGCTTCAATATGCAAATCAGCAGAAATCGTGAGCAGGCAATGCCGACCCGTATTAATTGCAGCTTTTAGCTTTAATGTGCAACAAAAGGCCAAAGGCAGAAGGCCGAGCATTTACTGCAAGTAAACTAGAACTCGTATACTCTAATTAGGGGTAAATACATTTGCACTGATATGAATACTGCGTACCACAATGCGGGTTTGACTATGATCGAAAAGATCTAAGTCTATACTGAAGTAAACATTGGAAAAGTCAGAGCCCCAAGGCTATAAACGCATTAAAGTTAGTACTGCATAAGACTAATCTAAAAGAGCGAAATATGAGCTAAAGTAAAAACTGCCGAAGGAATTCAGGCTTAGCTAAAGGTCTAGCAGTAGGAAATTAAAGATATCATATGGAAATGTTCTAAGACCCAAAATATCTAAATAGGAACTGAAGTAAAGAGGCCATAATATTGGACTGAATGATCTTAAAGTATGGCGATATGGCCTACATTGTTTGTTTACGATCTAAAGGATCTAAATATGCACTACAGTGAGCTCTGTATAGAAGGAAGGTCTGCGTATAAAAATGATCGTGCTTATATATGTACATATTTGGTATCAAACATATTAAAGTCTCTTGAGATTTATCTCCCTCTCTCTCTCGCTCTCAGCCTCTTGCAGTGTAACTGAACTGATTCAGTATTTGCCTCTTTTTTGTGAGTTTGCTTTCCATCTCTCGCTCTCGCTACCAATCCGGGTCTCTCTCTCTCTCTCTCGCAATCTCCCTCTCTACCCGCTTCACTGTAAACATTTGCTTACTCTGTTTTAGAACATGTTTCAATTAAAAATTATGTTTTATTAGCAATTGAAAGTAATAAAGAACGCGTTCGTTGACTCTTTGCCGTTTCGTTTTCGAATATCGCGTGAGCGCTCTCTGTTTGCATATTATTTCATACAGCAGTAAATCTATATACACATGAATATACACACACATACATATTAACATACATTTATTAGTATTATATTTTTATTTGTTTTTGCTTATACTTAATTCGCTTTTGTCACTGACCGTTTTTTGTTTTCGACCGTCGTTGCTGGCCGTCGAACGATTCGTTGTATACTGAAAGTTTCTCTCCCGAGCAAGAACTTATAATTGTATTCAGTTGTGGTCGGACTGTTAAGGCGAACGGAAAGACTATTCTCGACGCTCCAAGACCTTTTCGTATTTATAGCCAGAAACAATTGCAAGTTAGAGAGAACTGGGTATATAGATTGCGAACAGTCGGTAGGGGGCGTGGCCACAAAGCATACATCAGCATGATCAGGAGCTGAGTCGAACCAGCTCTCTGTCTCTTCTGTCCAATATAAGCAAAAGCAATATATTTGAAATAGTAGAGTCTCAATTAGTAGCTCGTTTTACATATGTATAACATAATAATTTTCTGGAAATTTCATATAGATCGGACATTCAGAACCATAGTTCAATCAGTCGGCTGAACGATCATCTTATGCGCAACTATGTGGATGTATGCATGCTATGAACACTTTGTAAATTGTAAAGCTTAGATAAAGGATTTAGGGTATCTAACTGTCGGGCAATCTCAACTAGTTTAGCTTTGGGTCCAAAGCTCATATATAATTTACGTCACTTCATATATGTATATCTAAAGGAACAAAGGTTACCAGCTTCGGTGGATGACTGCAGTATGACTAAGTTTTTATCGTCATCTTGGGAAACTGTGAAACGTTCTCTAAATTCTCGAATCGGATATGCAAACATTGTATTTTTGTATCGTACGAGCCCTTTAAATACCCTATTGGTATACATATATGTAAATTATTATGCTTCCATCGACTCATTACCACTGAACCTTTTCAATTTCTTAACAACGACATAAAAAAGTCACGTTTTCCATGCACTTGAATAAGTTTTGCATTTACGATGCCATTGTGAACACTAATTACTGCTTAGCAATTTTATGATTTACAAATCCATCTAAATTTTTCAATTTCCAAATGATGATAGGAGGAATAGTCGTATTTATTTCGAGTCACGAAGTTACGTCGCTAAAAACTTCTCAGTTGACTTTGTATTGTAAGCAAGCGGTATCGATCGTATATATTAGCAACATATACGACTTACACTTCAGATATAATCCACAATAATTTATACTATCATATTATTTAGAGATTTTATTCTATAAGCCCTGGCTAAAGCAACTTCGAAAAGAATTCTTTTCGAAGTTACCTATGATATCATCATAAACTTTATAAATATATATATAAACTTTATCAATCAAAAATGATGCAATTAAAATATTAGTCCTTTTTGGAAATTTTTTAAAATTATTTGCCTTAATATCTGTTAGAGTTTTATAATGTCAACTATAGTGCTATGAAATATAAACATATATACTATTGTATTTCAACATATTAAAGCAAACATAAACATATATACATCACAGTATTAACAAATGCTCTTAATTATCCCAGGCTTTCGCCATGAACAATAGATTTATGGCAGATGGCTGCTTTTTATTAGGATTTTCCTAATTACTGTCAAATATTCATAATTAATTTCTGCATTGTATAAATAATTGTGGTCATATATATTGTATGTAGGAATGAAGAATTGCACCGAAAATATTTGATAAGAAAATGAAAGTTCACACAAATTCTATTTGCAGTGGCCTTGCTATACATATGTTGATGTTGGTGTTTGCAATGTTTGATTTGTTGTGTGTGGATTAAACATAGATATTTACTTAGTTTTATTGACTTACAAAAAAAAAAAAAAAAAAAAAAAAAAAAACATAAACATACATACATACATATATATAAAATAATAAAAAACAGACTCACTGTCTTGCTAAAAGTCATAAAATATATAAAATAGTGAGAGCCGCAATATTACATAGCGATCGTCTCTTCATTACTTCATTCGCTTACTCTTAGTTATTTATAAATGCTCTCTGAATTGTATATGTATGTGTGCATGTGTGTGTTTGTAAAATCAACAATGTACACAAAACGAAATACTCAAGCAGTTTGACAAAATGTAGCTTAGCACGATTGATAGTAATGGAGGGTGTGGTGTTGCGTGTAGCCAGCTGCGCTCACATTCGTAAAGTCGCGGGTTCAAACCCCGCCGTCGACACTTTTCGAAATAAGTTTAAGAGAAATATTTTAAAACTCCTCCAATGCGACTCATCATGGCATAATGATTCGACTTTTTCATAGACGAAAAATTTCCGCATGAATCGTAGAGCAATCCAATGAGGTTAATGCACGTGTCTACTGACATTATCATATTGTGAATGACAGTGCTTCGTGCAATTTCCGTACAATATAGAATTATTTTAATTTTTGCTAAATTTTTTCAATTTCTTCATTTTAGCAACCACAAATTTTGTTGGAAAATTCACGCAAAGCGTGCGCCGCATTGTGCAGGATGTGAAGGACGAGGGGGCACCGAGCGGCATGACGCGCGATGAGGTTATCGAGACGAACGAACGCTTGAGATCATTACGGCTGCGCCTCGAGGAGTCCTACGATACGGTAAAGAAAGCACTGATTAATCTAATGAACCAATACGGCGACTCGAAGAGCCATCGCAACATCTTCCAGCGCTATCCCATGCTCAAGCTCATGATTAAGGTAAACCGATTAGAGTGATGTGATTTGACAATACTAATAGCAAGTGACTGCAGGAAGTTATACGCCTGGAGACTCAGTATTGGACATTAGTTGATATTCCGCGACAGGAGAAGCAGGAAACTGTGCCCTCGTACGTGATGCGCGCCTGCTCAATCATGGAGAAGACCCAGAAGTCGGGCGAGGGCGTCAAGACCTCGGCTCGCCTGGCCGAGGAGGCGGCTGAGCGCCGGGAGCGCATGGAGCGCCTGGAACGTAAGTTGAGTCGTTAACTCGAGTGATTAACACTGATTAGCTCCATCTAACCGCCAATAGACATGACAACGGCACAAATTGAGCTCGAGAATACGCAGCTGATTAATGATTTATATCGCTTGCTGAAAAAGTATCTGGGCTTGCGGCACTTGATACGCGTGCTAAAGGTGAGCGAACGAACCAGCGAACAATCGAATTGAAACGTCCCATTCAATGCAGGGGAACAAACCCTTTTTTCTCTCTCTTTGTGCCCGCAGGAAGAGTACGGCAGCTCAAAGATGTACCCGATATTTCCGCGGTACACAATGCTCAAGGACATGATAAAGGGCATTATGCACGACCCCGACTACATGGAGGTGTGCCACGAAACGCTGGCCAACTCCAACTGAGCCGAGGCATCCGGAAATGGCAGGCGTCGCATGAGTGTCATATGAGAGGGCCACCAGGAGACGGACAATACAACACACGCACACTAATCCAACCGGACCGGATGTGTGTCCCTCTGTGTGTGTGTGAGTGTCTGTGTGCTGGATTTCATATGCGACTTTCTGCCATCTTCCGAGCATGTTTAACAATTTTCAATGAACGTTAACTTTTTTGCATAGTTAGATACAAATCTTTAGATAATTTTTAGCCAAACAAAAAGGCAAACCAAACAAAAGCAACAACAACAACAACAAGAACAAAACACCTACCCCACCACAGAAGTAAACTACTTAACTACAACTACTACAACAACAACTAAAACTACAACAAACTATTTACCACAAACAGTAAAAGACCGTAGATAAAACTTGGCTAAGAGTCAGATAGAAAGGGAGAGAGAGAGAGAGGGAGAGATTAACCAAATCAAAGCAAAACAAAACAAAACAAAACAAAAAGAAACGCATTTATTTTAATGACTTTTTGAGATGAATATAAGAACTACAACAACAAAAACACCAAATAAACAAAAACTAAACTTAAATTACGTGAATGATGTACAACTCAAGTATTAAATATCCTCCACAAATACATAATATAAACCATTAGCCACATTCATACATATATGAATCATACATGTGTTTATGTGTATCTCAGTCATATCCATATATCTATTAAATGTACAACATAATTATGTTCGATTTCGTATGAATTCTTTGCAATTGTAAAGTTGATGTACTTAAGTTTTATAAATTTTATAAATCTTCATAGCATTTTTAAGCGTATTTAAAAATTTGATAAAATTTGATAGATTTATGAAATTTTCATATAATTATTCCTTCTAAAATTTTCAAATATTTAATCGAATATCTAAAATTTCATAAAAATTCTGGCAATAAAAGAAATTCCTTAAATTTAAATACTCAGTCAAAAAAAAAAAAACAAATAAATAAATAAAATAAAATCAAAATTGGCAGCTATTTATGAAAAAAGTTAAATTCCATCTAGATTCTTAAAAAAATCTCATTGATTTATTTCAATAAGTATTCCTTTGTTTCCTATTTTCAAAATTATGATCTAGTAAATCTAAATTAAATTAAAACCTTATTCATATACATCTCTAGACATATTTCAATATTGAGCAAGTAAGTTGCGGTCGGGCGTAACCGATTGACCAAATACTCGTTCACAATACCGAATGACTATAACTCTGTTTTCCGGCCTATTAAGGTCTCTGTAAAGAAGGTCATATATAGGTCATCCCTATAGCTGATCGTTAATCGGTAGACCTATTTCTATCTTCCGTTTTTCCAATATGCCACACTATTAACCTAACTATCATCGAATATAGGACTTATCTAAATTTCAAGTCTCCGATACCCTTTTATAAACATAAATTGTCTAAAACTAATATACTCTTTGTCAACTTCGTGAACGAGTATGAGTATTTAAATAACTTGTATAGTTAGACAATATATGGGAAATGTTCCCAAACATTAAATTAAAACTACATTTCTTTACACTTTTTGAAGGAAACACCAATTATACTCGTATAATTATGAAAGATATATGTATATTCAAGTATAACAACAAATAACTCAGGATCATTTGCTATGGTTCCTTTGACACTTCAAAACACTTCGTAGCAAAACTATTTTTCAAAAACCAAAACCAAAACCAAAATGAAAATCAAAGATATATGTATGTAACTATATGTTTAGCAAAAAATTAAAAGCTTTAAGTCCTATGCAATGTGTAATTAACACCCCACAAATCCTAGAAAAATACGTTAAGTTTAAAACTCAAAAGGAAAAAAAGAAAGAATTCCCTATGTCTTGGTACAGGTATATAACTTATGTTTTAGCTTTAGCCAAACTTACCAAGA